CCAGTCTGTGAGTAAAGGAGACATTTTTGGTGGGTTGATTCTCAAACTAAACTTGGAGGCCAATACCTTGTTATTATAACACCCAGTCTGTGAGTAAGGGAGACATTTTTGGTGGGTTGATTCTCAAACTAAACTTGTAGGCCAATACCTTGTTATTTTAACACCTAGTCTGTGAGTAAAGGAGACATTTTTGGTGGGTTGATTCTCAAACTAAACTTGTAGGCCAATACCTTGTTATTTTAACACCTAGTCTGTGAGTGAGGGAGACATTTTTGGTGGGTTGATTCTCAAACTAAACTTGTAGGTCAATACCTTGTTATTTTAACACCCAGTCTGTGAGTGAGGAAGACATTTTTGGTGGGTTGATTCTCAAACTAAACTTGTAGGTCAATACCCACTCACAGACTGGGTGTTAAAATAACAAGAGGGAGACATTTTTGGTGGGTTGATTCTCAAACTAAACTTTCTAGAACTCTCTTAAAATTCAGAATAGAGATTTCAATTTTCTGTAATATCTGGAATTGTCCACCAGTGTGGCCAAGTTCACTCTTGTTTGTAGGTTATGAGGGAGTAAAACCCATATTCTCATCTGATATCCCCCACAAAACATAGTAGTGGCTGCATATGTGGCACAATAAAATATATGGTTCCTCAGCTTTGTAAAGCTGTTTTTCTCTGTGGTTTTCAAGAGTTCTGTCAATGAAAGTGGCAGAGGGAATACTCCGGCATGTCTGGTCATCATTGTCTTTGTTTTGGTTGTTTATTACTCAGAATTGCAAACAAATACCTGCCATGTCAATTTTAAGAGCTATGCTGGTTTGTGAAGTAGTAGTAACAGTAATAGTTTAGCAGAGTAGCAGTAGTAACAGGGCAGCATCACTGGCACATGATGAATACAGATCATTTTTGTGGTTTTTATCTCTGTTTAATACTAATCATGATATGATATTGATAAACACTTTTTATTGGACTGATAATGATACATCAACATGAACACTTTTACTATTTTGTACAATAGGACCAGCATCTGGCCAACATCCCGAACTCTGTATATTCATGGCTGGACACTATTGTTGAGTTACATTGATAGTAAATTGTAGTCTTTGAGGTAAACAGATTGAGCTCTTTATTGTAGCACATTTTTATTGGTTTTAACTTGATTCTAGCTTGAATAACAGAAACTTTGACACTTTTTGTAGCCCACCTAATCACACTAATTCAGTCTTATTGACTTGTTGAGTAGATGTTCAGAAGGAGACATAGCAATTAGAATGTATTTGATAAAGTTTCTTAGGCCTTTTATAATGTTCTCCATATATACATTCAAAACTTCAAGATTCAGATGTATATGATCCCATGATGTCTTGTAGTTTAGTTAGATATTTGACTAAGGTTTGACACTGGTCAGTGTTTCACTTTATATACAGGTGGAGTCTTTTTGAAACGTATATTAACGTGCATGCAAACAATAAAAGTTTGTCTATTATACACAAGATTAATGAAGTTTTCATTTCTGTTTTTCATCCAGTGATTGGATGAGTAGATGTTAGGGTTGATGCTACTCCACTGTATGACAAGTGGCACTGAACAGTTATTGTTACAGGTAAAGCTTAAATTGAAAACACATCTACAGGTCGGTGGGGTTTGTATGAATTGATGGAGATATAGATAATATTACAATTTTTAGTATAAAATATTCATGATATGTGTAACATATCTCCATGTTACTTGCTGGTCGTACTTAGACATTTTTTTTATCATACTTATATGAAATAATATCCACATTTTATTAAAAACATCAACAAGAAGATGTAATGGAATCAGAAACTGGATAAATATTTTTTGTTAAGCCTAATGTTTTGTTAAGCCTAATTTTGTTTATGTACTTAAGCCAACTGTTAAGAAGAAAGAAAGTTTTTAAAATGTTCATTTAGTGCCTTCAAAACCAGGCAGATTTCAGGAAGACAGCTTTACTTTCCACTTAACGCCACAACAAGCTCATGATATAGCGATGTCGAGGTAGGTTACATATGATGTTAATATGACATGCGATTAATATGAGTTCAAACTTAGCCCATTAACTTAGGAAAATAATAATTATTTAGTGTTTCCTATACTGAGATTCTGTATAATACGTAACATGAAACATTTTTTTTTTCTGGTGCTGGATACAAGTACATAAAAGTTGATGAATGATTGTTTTTTTAACATCAGTATTTATCCAGGACTAGTTTTAATATCACCCGTACCTGACTATGATCATTTGAAGTTGCCAATCTTCTTCTAAAACAATATTATCTCAGGATCCACAACAATATGTTATTCATCAAGTTCGATTTATTTAATATTTATCTTCACTATTCAGAATTTTATAAAAATGTTTTGAAACTTATACAGTCTAGTTTAAACATTTTTCATTCATTAAAAATCTTTGTCAAAAAATAGACAAGTCTACAAACAAAAAGTCTGTCTCACTAGGATAGTTAATGAAATTATCTCAGAGGGAAGTCTTATCTATTGATGTTTGTATCATAATTTTAAGGCTTAACTTATATATGATTGTTATAAACTTATTGCTTCATTTAGTTTCTTTTTAAAGATTGATATAATTTTTTTTCTAAAATTGTTTGTTATTGTGTGAAATTTTAAAGTCAGACAAATTCCACTCTTGACAAGACGTGTGTTAGGAGCAGACAGAATGAGTATTGGCGTGATCTGGTGGAAACTAAGAGATAGAGAGATTAATCTCAGTTTATCTTACTATAAAAAACATTGTACTTACGACTTGTGTCGCATGAAATATGAAATTTTAATACTCTTCACCACTTGTTCAATATAAGTTAAACGTTTTACTTTTTGCATTAGGTCTATAATATCAAGGCATGTAAAAGGAGTAATTGAACATAATAAACCACAACTTTACAACTTGTCCAACATAAAGAGTAAATGTAAGAATAATGTAAGGTATATTTTATTTCTTTTTTTAGAGGAAGTAAAGATTATGGTGTTCAAGTACAGTTACGGTTTTGTCTCCTCGAGACAAGCTGCGAACAGGAGGATAACTTCCCCCCCAGTATCTGTGTTAGGGTCAACACTAAAATGTGCCCCCTTCCAGTTAAGTATGATTGTCAACTCTTTGAGTGTTTTTTTTTAAATTAGGAAAACCTTATCCAGAATAGTCTCTATTAGCTCTAACTCGCTGATAGTAGAACAAGTTGAAGTCATATGTCATATAAAATTCATTTGTGATCCCTATAAGTTTTCTTCACAACAGGAGAAATTAGTGTGTGACTTATGTTTCAATAAAAATATCTATTTGAAAAACATTTACTATTATGTAACATGATGATTACAAAAATATTTATTTTATGTTATTATATTTCCCTACACTAATAAGTTTATAATATTATTTGTTAAGCAGTCTGTCTCTCCTATTGTTAAATTTCTATTAAAAATAAAGTCACAGAAAAAGAAGGAATTTCCTTTAAATTACATTGAAGCAAATACTCGGGATTGAAAAAAATATCGAGTTCAGAAACAAATGTTAAACTGTGATTGAATCTTGACTATATGAACACCAAGGGAGCAATGTGTCAGACTGTGTAGTTTTATACGCTAGTGTAAATATTTTTTGACATTTGACAATATGAACACCAAGGGAGCAATGAGTCAGACTGTGTAGTTTTATACGCTAGTGTAAATATCTTTTGACATTCGACAGATATGTAAAGAGACACAATATAAATGAAGTTTCTTTTGTTTTGCAGAATCCTATTCCTACCAATAAACCTGGAGTTGAACCAAAAAGACCAAGTCGACCAGTAAATATCACAGCATTGTGCAGACTGTGCCCCACTGTAGCCAATCATATCAGTGTATCTTGGGCATCAGAATACGGTCGGGTATGTTAATACCAGATCTCTTTAATGAGTTTTTCAAGAACTTTATTTTATGTTATGTCCATGTTATGACCTTTTACGGAGTTACAATCAAAATTTAATTAAACTACTTTATTATCAATGTATACAAATAAACTTGGCATCAAAACATAGTTAATAAATCAAATTTTGATATTATATAACTTTGAAGTTCTTATAAGGAAATAGTTTAAAAAAATCTTCAATCTCCTCTAGTATGAGAATCATGACATACGTTCTCTAGGTCTTCTCTCTTCTCTAATTTATTTACCACCCCTCTCAGGAATTTAGTGTAAGTTGCTTATTATGATATAGATATTACAAAGGCAAAGTCTAATGTTTTATATAAGCCTCTCTTTCACAAATTTCCAGCAATTCATTCTGACATTTTTTATTATATCATTTATAACCATAGGAAGGCAAAATTTTAATCTATCAAATGACTTATAATGCTATGTTGTTTTCAGTACAGACTTGTCTCCTGGTGTTCATATCCAGCAACAAAGGGAATTAATTTAAGTCCTTCTTATCTTAGTTAGAAAGTCAGTTAAATTATAATAGTTATAGGACATTCTTAGCATGTTGTTATTCTATATTTTTAGGTGTATTATTTAAGTAAATACAAATTTAGTGTACTAGTAACATCATTATAAAAAATAGGCTTAAATTTAATCGACAACTGACAGCAGAAACACAAAAGGTCAGAAGTAAATACTGTATTTCTTGTTTATCATGTATGTTCTATATTTATGGTTATATAAGGTTAGATTAGGTAAGGTAATGAAAAAATAAATAAAAATTATTCACAAGCTATGCTTTCGAGCTGCTCATGCAGTATGTCATTCGATACGGTAACGTGACCTACATGTTCACCAAGTGATTTACAACTTGTGTGGTGGGATTATTAGTTAGACATGGTTCAAATGGCAATAAAATTTAGTAGAAACAGATGTAGACTGTTACGAGCCTTAAGCTATTTAAGATATACAATTGTAGTTCTCTGTTACAATCTCCAGTTATTTTAGAAACAAAAAGGGTAATTTAGATTCATTTAATATTTTTTTTATGGTGATTACAATGTTGGTCAAATTTAATGAGTCCATATAGAAAAAATAACGGCTAAGATGTAAAGTTTTAGTGAAAAAAAAAGTTTGATATTTATTTAGAAAGTTTTAGAGGTTACACAAATGAAGTTTGAAAATTTTCAGATAAAGAAAAGTATTTTTAATCTAAACACTGAAAATCACTTTGTACTTGGAGCATATATTGTTTCCATACATTCGTGGACAAAGCTTAAGTAAAAGTACTCAATTAATGAATCTGATTTTTTTGTGTGCAAAAGACTTGTAATGTTTAGTGAAAGCTTGCTAAATTTCATAAAGATACACAAAACATATTAAAATTGATAGCATGGAAACTGATTGTAACTTCGTGATTACAATGTTAGTCACATTGCCTGACCCCATATGAAAAGAGTTAGTACATAAAACATCAACAAAGTATGAAAATATTAAATTTGGTAAAGACAAACTAGTATAACCAAATAACAACTAAACATAATTATGTATAAGAATTTAGGGGTAATTCACACATTGATAGGGGTAATTCACACAATAATAGGGGTAATTCACACATTGATAGGGGTAATTCACACATTGATAGGGGTAATTCACACAATAATAGGGGTAATTCATACATTGATAGGGGTAATTCACACATTGATAGGGGTAATTCACATATTGACTCCTCCTGTTATGATCATACAGTGGTTCAGGATGTTTACTGAAATCCTAGATTGAAAAGCCAGAGCTTCAAGCTGTGTGTCTCAGTTAGATATGGAACAAAAACTGAGTCGAAAGTAGTAACTAGAGAAAGGAAATATTTATATGTTGTAACACTATTCATCTCTGTTATTTGTGATGTATAGAAATGTTGTTCTTCTGTTTTTACTTAAAATTGTATCATTACAGATGCATTTCCAGTAATTGGGTGTGGGGGATGTTCTGAACCTCATTTTAGATCTGTACCAAATGAGACATACTTTTCTAACAGTGCCAAAGAATTAAAAATTCATTAAAATTCATCAGCCAAAGTACATGTAGTACATACAGTTACTCAGTCTTTTTGATGTTCATGAAAACCTGTGTTTAATGAAGAGAATAACAGTAGCCATTTATAAACTTCTGTTATCGCTTCATAAAACAGACATTCACTACTACTGGTGCTCATGTTTGTGATAAAAGATTGTTGTTTTTTTTTAACACTCCCGAGTGATATTACTGAATGCTAAAAATTGTCCACCCTTGGAATAGCTAGCCATTATATTTGTTGCTCAGTTCGGTAATAAAAGGTTGGGACAATTAGTTAATAGTTTATTAGTTCAGTTCTAAGTAACTTGTTTCTATAAATTAGTATGTTCAGGAAACAAAAATTAGATAATTTTCATAGCTCTTGTGAATCGTTTGATGCATATCTAAATTATGCAGACGCGGGTCTGACTTGGTTAAAATTACTAAATCACATTCAGATATTTTCAACAGTTTTAAAAGCATGTATGAATTAGGTGCCTATTTTTTTTAACTTTGACTTACAGTAGTTATACGTTTAATTTCATTGTCTCTTAGCATCAAAATCAATGGCTTATGGTATAAATATAACATTGTAAGGTTATTGTAGTTGCATATATAGATGTTTTGTATTGGTTGTGACTAAATTTAATCATTTCTCTGTTCAGTTTTAAAGGTTGTTGAGTAATAAATGTATATGAAAGCAAGCACTAAATTAATTTGGTACTAGTACAATGGAACTGGATTTATTTAAAAACTTCTTAATATATGTATGATGAACCAGTGAGCCTTCCTTAGTTGTGAAAGCCTTTATTGTTCAAATAGCTATAAATATACATCTTCAAAGTGTTTTTCAGTACTGACATGTGTAAAGAGGTCTGTTTCAACAATACCACAAGTGAGACAAGGGTTTTTGAGTTCTTATATATGCATGTATACGAGGTCTGTTACAACAACGGAGATGAGGGTTTTGAACAGCCTTGTCATAATTAAAAGAAAAATATTAGTTTCTAGGAACAAACTAGATTTGATATCATGTTCTAATATTTTAATCTATGGTTATGCAGCTTTTATGTAATTTTTTCTTGAAGGGTTATTCTGTAGCTGTATATCTTGTGAGAAGATTGAGTTCCTCAACGTTATTATCACGTCTTAAGAGCATGGGAATAAAGAATCCTGACCATACAAGAGCAATGAGTAAGTGTGTGTTTTTTTTTTCAGGTCAGTAATGGCTCAACTACAAAAAATAATGTATTGTTCTTATAACCTTATAGTAGTTATTGACAGTGTTGTCTTATTAAAGAATATGTATTTGTATTTCACACAAGTTTGTATCCCACCTGATAATACCGCGTAAACCTGGAGAAATATTGTGTAAAAATAAACAAATGTTATACTTTGTGCAACTGATAAAAACTTGTGTGAATTTTAAAAACATAGATCTTTTTAATATTTAATTAATGCATATATATATATTTGTTCTACTTAGTATTCTTTGATTGTGGTTTCTGTTGCTATAAATTATTCTTACATTTTAAATGTTCTTCTTGATCAGCTTTTTATTTATCATTTAACTTTGTGTAATTTACTGATTTTCAGTTACTCTTGAATCTTTATTAACTATTTCATTTAAAACGTTTCAGTTAAAGAAAAGTTGCAACACGATCCTGATTCGGAAATTGCTACTACAAGTTTAAGAGGATCTCTTATGTGTCCAGTAAGTAGGACTGCATTTTTATCTTTCTTCTTTTGTTCATTTGACTTTTATTCATCGATTAAATATGTTTTTTAACTTTCTTCCTGTTGCAGTTGGGGAAGATGAGAATGCAGATCCCTTGTCGATCCATCACGTGTTCCCACTTACAATGTTTTGATGCATCGTTGTACCTTCAGATGAATGAAAAGAAACCCACATGGATATGTCCAGTTTGTGATAAACCAGCTTTTTTCAAATGTCTCATGATTGATGGGTAGGTTTAAGGGAAAATTAGTCATTCCTGTCCTTGGGAAGTTGTTTACATAATATAATCTTCTATTTCTTAAGATTCTGGGCAGGGTCTGTATTAATATGCACCATAATTCCAATAATTTGATGTACAGATCTAAATTCCCTCATGAACAGTTTAAAAATGATAATTCTTGTCTTTCTAAATGAAATACATTAAAATTCTGGTAAGTTATAAAGAACATGATATTTTCTGATGTTTAATATCTTGGCTGTGGGTTGAATCTTCTGACTAAAAACACTGCTTGGAACCAATCACAGTATGCGATACAAAACATATTGAGAGCAAAACATCGTGCAACATATTAGCATAGCACAGCTTTCGATCGTATTCAGTTTTGCCAATTTATAACATCATCTAAAAATTGGCCGATTGTGCAGTTGTGAAAAATCCTTAATATAAGCTCTGGTTCTGGGAGTTTTTTTTAAATTTAAGAATGATTTAGCTGGAACTGTCTCTGAATGTTAACTAAAGTTCAGTTCTGTGGAAAAATTAGTTTATTTTTATTGAAATATGCAATGCTTTGCTTAGCTCAGAAATGTTTTGAAATAAAGTATGTAATATATGATACAGAATCGTTATTCTATACCTTATAATGATACACAGCAGTAAGTAGAAAAAGGCAGACATAAACATTTCTTCCTGGCATTACATCAGACCCTGAAAAAAAGGCAAGGATGTATACTAACAGATTAATTATTACACAAACATTGGGTTAGTGACGATTGGGAATATTCCTTTCAAAGAAACCATAGCACAGACCGTGAAATGTGTTCCGAGATCTTGTGGTTTGATTTAGAGAAGAATATAAGTAAAGATAATAATTGTTATCAGAAGCTGTATTGGAAATCCATTTAAATATTTATATCTTTCTCTCAAAATCAAGAATAACGCTTGGAACGTGAAAATAATAAGTGTGAAAGTTCTGTAATTCTTAACGAGAAAAAAACGCAACTGAACACTGCAGAGTTGAGGAAGAGAATGAGTTGTAGAATACACACAAAGTGAAACACAACTGAACACTGTAGAGTTGAGGAAGAGAATGAGTTGTAGAATACACACAAAGTGAAACACAACTGAACACTGTAGAGTTGAGGAAGAGAATGAGTTGTAGAATAC